TCTGAAGGACAGAGATAAAGATGCACTGAAATTAGTATATCAGGAAGGTTTACTAACTACTGGAGAGACCAAACTGTCCTACAAGAAAGACCAAATGAAGAACAGAATAGAGGCATGGGAAGACAAAGCACTACATGGCTAGTACATTAAAAAAATAGCTGGGAAAGCAGATAATAACAAGACCTGGCAATGGCTAAGAACAGGAAAGTTGAAGAAAGAGACCGAGGGACTAATTCTGGCTGCATAAGACCAAGCCTTAAAGACAAATGCATACAAAGTCAAAATTGAGAAGACAGCAACAGACAGTAAGTGCTGCTTATGCAAAGACGCTGAAGAAACAGTGGACCACCTGGTAAACTGCTGCAAGAAGATCGCACAGACTGACTACAAGCAGCGGCACGACAAAGTAGCAACAATGGTGCATTGGAAGAGCTGCAAGAAATATCATTTGCCTGTAAGCAATAACTGGTGGGATCATAAAATAGAGAAAGTCATAGAAAATGATAAAATTAAACTGCTCTGGGACTTGAGAATTCAAACAGACAAGCACCTGCAACATAACACCCCGGACTTGACAATTGTCGATAAGAAAGACAAAAAAGCCTGGATAGTGGACGTGGCAGTGCCTGGAGACAACAGAATAGATGAGAAAGAACTGGAGAAGATAACAAAATACAGAGACCTACAAATAGAAATAGAAAGACTGTGGCAAAAGCAAGCAAGGGTAGTATCAATAGTAATAAGCACCTTGGGTGCAACCCCAAAACAACTGGAGCACCACTTGGACACCATCATCAGCACTGACACATTCACCATTAGTCAATTGCAAAAGGCGGCCTTACTAGGAACTGCTTCCATCCTGCAACGAGATCTGTAATACCATCAAACATCCACATCTGCCTATCCCAGGTCCTTGGGCCAGGACTTGATAGGTAGACAAAAATGCCAAATCCAGTCTGAACACATGGCTGACTGTGCGATGATCAGTAATAATAATAATAATAATAATGATGATGATGATGATGGTGGTGGTGGTGGTGGAAAGGGCCTTGGAGGTCATCTAGTCCAACCCCCTGCTCAGGCAGGAAACCCTATACCATTTCAGACCTACGACCGTTTCAGCAATCCCATGCTCACTGATCAAAATTTGGACGCTTGGGCAACTTGACTCGTATTTATGACGGTTGCAGTGTTCCGGAGGTCATGTGATCCCCCTTTTGTGATCTTCTGAAAAGAAAAGTCGATGGGGAGACCAGATTCACTTCATAAGCGTGTTAGCAATGTTTCGCTCAACTTGATTTTATTTTCTTTTGAAAAAGTTAAGCCTCCTTTAGTACAGGTCGTCCTTGACTTACAACTGTTCATTTAATGATCGTTCAAAGCTATAACGGCAACGGAAAAAAAGTGACTTTTGACCGTTTTTTTCCTACTTACGGGCGTTTGCAGCCTCCTTTTGGTCACGTGATCCAAACTGAGACGCTTGGCAACTGGCATGTACTTAAGACGGTTGCAGCGTCCTGGGGTCACGTGATCCCCTTTTTGTGACCTTCTGACAAGCAAAGTCGATGGGGAAGCCAGATCCGCTTAACAACCGTGGGACTAACTTCACGACTGCGGCAATTCACTTAACAACAGTGGGAAGCGACTTCGCAAAGTGGGGCCAAGCTCCCTTATCAACGGTCTTACTTAGCAACAGAGATGGTGAGTTCTAGTCCTGCCTTAGCCATGAAAGCCGGCTGGGTGACTTTGGGCCAGTCCCTCTCTCTCAGCCCAACTCACTTCAGAGGGTTGTTATTGTGGGGAAAATAGGAGGGGGAAGGAACTTTAGGTATCTTTGCCATCCTGAGCTATTTGTCACAATCAAAGCGATCTATAAAGAAGTAAATAAATAAAACGAATTAATTAAATCCTAGGAGAACTTTACTTGAGAAATGAGATGGAACTCCCCAGCAGGTATAATAGTCTTATGGTACGACTGCATAGCGTTTCACACCGTAGTTATGAATTCATTGCTCCAGGGCATGTTCCCCCCGGCATAAGAGAAAACCCAAAAAATAAATAATGGAAAACAGATACACCACTTATACCACCGCAGGGCTTAGCTGAGCATTAAATCATGATGTTTCTGGCCCCTTGGAAATAAAAAAAAACCCTGCCCTTTTAAAACCATTGTTTGATAATGACCTGGATTATGCCGGGAAATGCAGTCCCGCTAATGTAGACGTTGCCTTCAAAATTGCTTTTGAATCGCTTGCAGAGATAATTCAAGGCTTCTCGGCGCATTTATGGCTCACGCGGAGATGGGAAAACGTGACACCCAGAGACAAATGGCTTGCGCAAAAGCCAAGTGGCCGTTTGCCAATTCCATGCAGAGGAACGGAGTTTGGAAGACCTGGAGGTACTCTAGTCCAACCCCTTCTCAAGCAGGAGGCCCCCATATGCATCGTCCCTCCATCACTGCTCGAGCAGGGGTTTGGACTAGAACAGGGTCCCCCACCTGTGGGCCACGGCCGGTGGCCAGGAGGCTGGCCAGTGTGCGAAAACGGGACGCCGATGCGCTGCAAGGTGCAAAAATGTATGACGCACCGCGGGGCGCGGAAACAGGCCATCGCCGCACTGCAGGATGCAAAAACCGGCCGCCGCCGCATTGCGGGGACGCAAA